CGTACTGACTGGGGAATTCTGGGAGTTGAAGTCCACCCACCTTAAAGAAATACCGTCTTGGGGCTTACTGTCAATCTTACACTGCCACCTCTGACTTCTTCCTAGTTGTGGCTGAATCCTGGCGGGCAACTTCTCATCTCTGATTATTGCTGTGGGCCACGCCCGTGGTCCACCGTTTTCACCCAATATGTCAAGCAGAGGAAATACAACCTGCTCACCCCAGAAGAGTACGGCCAGGTAACATTATGTGAGGTGGGAGAAATTTCTGGATAAGCTCCATCATTACAGGTAGCCCTCAACTTATGGCCGTTCATTTAATGACCGTCCCAAAGTTGTGATGTTGCTGGAAAAAGGCAACCTAATCAGTCCTCACACTTACAACCATCCGGTATGGTTCCAACGTCCCGGGGTCCTGCGATTGCCACTTGCAACTCTCTGACAAGCAAAGTCAATGGGAGAGGTTGGGTTTGCTTAATGACTGCATGATTCATTTAACAAAGGCAGTGTTTCGTTTTACAACCACGGGAGAAAAAGATTGTAAAATCAGGTGCGCCTCACTCAACAACTGGATGAAAATTCAATTCAATGTAGAGAAAAGTAAAGTCCTACACTTAGGCAAGAAAAACCAAAAGGACACATATAGACTGTGAGAGGGATTTTGGAGTCTTAGTGGACAACCAGCTCAACAGGAGCCAGCAGTGTGCAGCAGCTGCCAAAAAAGCCAATGCAATCCTAAATTGCATTAGCAGAGGGATACAATCGAGATCAAGGGAGATACTAATACCACTCTATAAAGCCTCAGTAAGGCCACACCTAAAGTACTGCATCCAGTTTTGGTCACCACACCATAGAAAAGATGTTGAGACTCTAGAAAAACTGCAGAGAAGCGCAACCAGGATGATTAGGGGACTGGATACTAAAACATACGATGAACCGTTGCAGGAACTGGGCCTGGCTAGTCTAGGGAAGGACCAGGGGAGACAGGAGAGCATCTTCCAATATTTGAGGGGCTGCCCCAGAGAGGAGGAAGGGTGTCAAGCTATTCTCCAAATCACCCAAAGGCCAGGCAAGGAACAATAGATGGAAACTGAACAAGGAGAGATTCAGCCTGGAAATAAGGAGAAACTTTCTGACAGGGAGAACAATCAACCCATGGAACAGAAGTCGACTTCAGAAGTTGTGGGAGCTTCATCCCTGGAGGCTTTCAAGAAGAGACTGGACTGCCATTTGTCAGAAATGGCGTAGTAGAGTCTCTTGCTTGGGTGGGGGGTTGGACTAGATGACCTACAATGTCCCTTCCAAGGCTGTTAATCTGTAAATCTGTAAAATGGTTTAGCAACAGACATCCCGGTCTTGATTTTGGCTGTAAGTTGAGCCCCATCTGTTGTATGAAAGGATCCATCTCCGACCATCAAATTAACCTCCTGCCTTGGGGTTGGACTAGAAGACCTCCAAGGTCCCTTCTGTTTCTGTCACTTTCCACCAAGTCTATTCATCCATTTCTACTATTGTGTGGGTGTGGGTGGGTGTCACTTGCTATCAAATTAATCTGTGCCTCCCTATGCGATAGCTTTACCTCTGGTTCTCCTTCCGTAGTTATTGCAAGAGGCTGGGTTCATCCGAGTCCAAGCGTTGGACTCCACCAACCAGATGTTGTCTTCATTGACCCAAGAGCTTCAAGCCCTGGAGACAAGCAAGGAGACATTTGTTCAGGTGGGCTGGCAGTTTACTTTTTGATAGCCTCTCCTCCATTGGGCTGGACCAGTGTGGCGTTCAGATGCAAATTCTTGATTTTATTTTTCTATTCTCTCTCTCTATCTATCTATCCATCCATCATCTATCTCTATATCTCTCTATATCCATCTATCTCATCATCCATTCATCCATCCATCTTATCTGTCTGTCTATCTATCTATCAATCATCTATCTATTTCTATATCCTTATATCTATTTATCTCTACCTCGTCTATATCTATCTATCTATCTATCTATCTATCTATCTATCTATCTATCTATTGTCTATCTGTCTATCTGTCTGTCTATCTATCTATCTATCTATCTATCTATCTATCTATCTATCTATCCCTCTATGGTATATATCTATCTATCTCATCATCCATCAATCTATCCATCTGTCTGTCTGTCCGTCCATCCATCCATCCATCTATCTATCTATCTATCTATCTATCTATCTATCTATCTATCCATCCTATCTATCTCTATCTCTATCTCTATCTATCTATCTATCTATCTATCTATCTATCTATCTATCTATCTATCTATCTATCTATCTATCTATCTATCTATCTATCTATCTATCTATCTATCTATCCCTCTATGGTATATATCTATCTATCTCATCATCCATCCATTCATCCATCTATCTATTTTCTTTCTTTCTTTCTTTCTTTCTTTCTTTCTTTCTTTCTTTCTTTCTTTCTTTCTTTCTTTCTTTCTTTCTTTCTTTCTTTCTTTCTTTCTTTCTTTTTCCATTCTTTGTTATTTTTATAAATAACTCCAGACAGCTAACATATCAAATACACCTTTTTCTCCAATTTTCCCTGCAACATGTGGGTTGTGCTCAGGGACAGGGATTGGCCTAAAGTTATGCAGCCAGCTCCTTGGCTAAGGCAGGACTGGAACTCACCGTCTCCTGGTGATTGGCCCAAAGTCACCCAACTGCCTTTCATGCCTAAGGCAGGAACTAGAACTCCCCATCTCCTGGTTTCTAGCCTGCTGCCTTAACCACTAACCTAAACTGGCTCCCCATATCCTTCCTCATAAGAGTTTCCTCCCTCCCCAGGGATCGTTCTTAATATTCCTCTCTTATTTTTTTCCCCTCCTTCATCCTCAGGAGTTCTCTGAGGAAGAATTTGAATCCATGGCGTCCAGTTGGCGAGCAAAATTGCAACGCTGCGCAGCCGGAGACCAACGCTGGGGAGTCTTCCTCGCCCAGAAGCCAGAGTAGATCAGGGCAGGAATTCACACACACACAAACACACACCCAGACACCTTTCTTTGTTGTTGTTAGTTGCGAACTCGTGTCCGACCCAACGTTCCTCCAGGCCTTCCTGTCTTCTACCACCCCCCGGAGTCCATTGAAGCTCACGCCGACTGCTTCAGGGAACTCCCTCCAACCACCTCCTTCTCTGTCCTCCCTTTCTTCTTTTTCCCTCCATCGTTCCCAGCATTCGGCTCTTCTCCAGCGAGTCCTTCCTTCTCATGTGTTGGCCAAAGTCTTTGAGTTTCCTCTCCAGGATCCGGCCTTCTAAAGAGCAGTCAGGGTGGATCTCCTCTAGGACTGACCGGTTGGATGGCCTTGCAGTCCAAGGGAATCGCAGGAGTCTCCTCCAGCCCCAGAGTTCAAAGGCCTCCATTCTTTGGCGCTCAGCCTTCCTTACGGTCCAACTTTCCCAGCCATACATTGCCACTGGGGGAACCACAGCCTGGATCCTACGCCCCTTTGTTGTCAGGGGGATTTGTCTCTGCTTTTGAGTAGGCCGCCTGGATTTGCCACAGCTTTCCTCCCCAGGAGCAAGCGCCTTTTAATTCCTTGCCTGCAGTCCCCACCTGCAGTGGAGCCCGGGAAGATAAAATCTGTCACTACCTCCATTTCTTCCCCTTCTATTGGCCAGGAATGGAGAGGGACGGATGCCACAATCTTAGTTTTCTTAGTTTTCTACCCCCTGGTTATCTCCAAAACTTTCTTGAACTTCAAACTTCTTTTCTTTTTTGTATTTTTTTTAATTTTTTTAAATATTAAATATTTAAAATATTAAATATGTTTTAAATACAACAAATCCATTCCATTTCAATCGTGCATTGATTAAGTACATATTTCAATTATTTAGCCATTATTAATAATGTTCTTCTTGTCAAACTTAACAATATAACAAAAATCACTTTCCTATGTAAATAATAGAAATAAAATCCAATGTATCTATCACTTTAATTTCTCTTATTACTCTATCAATACATCCAGTCCCTTTTAATTTGTTCTATTTTCTATCCATTGATAAAACAAATCCCATACCATATCATATTCAGATTCTTCTTTTTCTTTAATTTCTAGTGTCAGTCTATTCATTTCTGCACATTCAAATATTTTTTCAATAATTTTTCCCTTTATCGGTATCCTATCACTCTTCCAGTTTTGGGCAAATACAATTCTAGTCGCTGTTAAGACATGTATGATTAAGTAAATCTTTTCTTTACTATAAGCTTCTGGTACCATTCCTAATAGGAATATATTTCAAGCTTCAAATCTATATGTTGTTTAATCATTTTTTCCAACCACATGTGTATTTTAGTCCAATACATTTTAGCCTCTGGGCAAATCCACCACATATGATAATATGTTCCTGACATTTGATGGCATTTGGACTTCCGGCTTTTAGTGGCCACCTCCAGATGGGAATGGGCCTGGCTCTCTCACTCTCCCTGCAGATTTGCAAATCCCAACAGCTTTGCTCGGGAACGCGGGGCGTTGTGGGGAAGACATGGTCTCCACCTAATGACGCTGCTGGCCGTTGGAGCAGATGGTTGCAGGCTGAGTCATTCCAGGGTGGTTGGCAAGCCGGAGTTGATAGCTCTGCCTCCCGCTCCTTCCCTCCCATCTGGTTCTGCTTGCCTCCCGTTGCTTTCTTCCAAATAATCAGTTCCAGAATATCGTTGAGTGCAAGGAATGTCCCACCTCCGGCTGACGAAGGATTCTGTAGAACTCCGAAAATGGCACCATTGTCTTTTTTTTTTTAACCTGTCAAAGTATCCTAATAAAAGGATGACCGACAACTACGCTCCACATTTCTGCTGCGAGACCTCGGCCGAGTGAATTTTGCCCTGTTTTATGACCACGATTGTTAAGTTGAATCACCACGGTTGTGAAGTTAGAACACGTTGGCTTCCTTGTTGATTTTTCTTGGTTGCAAAAGGAGGACCATGTGTCCCCGGGACACTGCAGCCGTCATAAATATGAAACCAGTTGCCAAACGTCTGGATTTTGATCACGCGGGGATGCTATAAGTGTGAAAAACAGTCATGTCACTTTTTGAGTGACACAGTAGCTGCAAACGGTCACTTAATAAGTGCTTGGCAGGGGGTTGGACTAGGAGACCACTGCGGTCTCTTCCAACTCTGTTATTCTGTTATTTTGTTCATATCAAAACTTTAAACTGCCCCGTCGCTGAAATGTGCTATTTACGATGAAGCCCCTACCCAAGTCGCAAACTGATATAAAAATATCTCAAAGAAAACCAAATTAAATTCAGAACAAAAGCTTCACCCACATTAGCAGTAGCAGCCTCAGGGCACCCATGAAAAAAAAATCTCAAAGAATCTGCATTCAAAGCCAATGCGGAAGATTGACGAGCCTTTTGACCTCCAAAAGGGGAAAAATTTGCTGACGTCCTGCTTGCCGTATCTGTAGTTACATCATTCAGGCTTGGCTGGGAACTGGGGTGAGGAATGGAGGTCAGCTGCCTGACCACAAATACTCTGAATTTCTCTAGATCTGCAAATTCTTCTTTTTAAAAATCTTCTAAAATTTTCAACCAGCCAGAGTGGCTGTGCAGTTTTGCAGACCTGCCACCAGAGGGCAGAGTGCCTCTATTTGCCTGCCATTGGAGGTGACGCTGACCAGCATCAAGCAGTGATTTGCCACTTTCTGGAGGGGTATCCTGGTTTGGCCCTTGGAGGAAACCCACTGCAAAGGATCAGGGGCGCCTGCGTTCTCCAGCTGTTCCAAACTATAACTTCCACTGGCTGCAAACTTGAAAACTAGACTGCTCACCTTCCCACTTCTCAATCTCATGGCCTGCATTCTAGAATAGAATAGAATAGAATAGAATGGAATGGAATGGAATGGAATGCAGTGCAATGCAATACAATACAATACAATTCTTTATTGGCCAAGTGTGATTGGCCACACAAGGAATTTGTCTTAGTGCAAATACTCTCAGTATACATAAAAGAAAAGATACATTTGTCAAGAGTCAAGAATCATCTGCTACAACACTTAATAATTGTCATAGAGTTATATAGTAATAGGGTATATAGTAAATAGAATATAGTTATAGGGTAGAATAAGATATCAAATCATACTAGGAAACAGTCAATAATAATCGTAAGGATACAAGTGACAAAGTTACAATCATACAGTCCCAAGTGGGAGGGGATGGGTGATAAGGAGTGATGAGAAGGTTAACAGTAATAGTAGTGCAGACTTTGTAAATAGCTGGACAGTGTTGAGGGAATTATTTGTTTAGCAGAGTGATGGCATTTGGGAAAAACTCTCCTTGTGTCTAGTTGTTCTGATGTGTAGTGCTGCATAGCGTCCTTTTGAGGATAGGAGTTGAAACTGCTTATGTCTGGAATATGAGGGGTCTGTAAATATTTTCACAGCCCTCTTTTGGACTCATGCAGGATACAGGTCCTCGATGGAAGGCAGGTTGGTAGCCACTGTTTTTTCTGCAGTCCTAATCACTCTCTGTGACACAGTCTGTGTCTGTCCTGTTGGGTTGCAGAACCGAACCAGACAGTTCTAGGTGTGCAGATGACAGACTCTGCAAAAGCTTATGCTTTGCAGTTTGCAATAGGTTTGCTCAGCTGATGACAACATGCATACTCCAGTTCCCAGCAGGCTGGCTGGGAATTCTGGAAATTGCAAACTCCAGAGCCTGGGAAGGTTATGAAAGAAAAGAAAAGAAAAGCCCAAAAGCTTCCTTGTAAAATGAGCTCAGTTCCAAATGACTCACAGGGACACGTACACAGAGCAGAAGTATTTTGTCTCTGACTGGTGGGGGGGGGGGGTTGATTTCATTTCATTTCATTTCAAGTTATTAAATTTATAGGCCACCCAATTTTCAGCAGCCTCTAAATTCTAACACCGTGAAATCCGATGTAACAGAACCTTATCTAATTCAACGTTAGAGAAAAGGATGGTTTTACACTTAGGAAGAAAAACCAAATATACAGGTACAGATTAGGTGAAACCTGGCTCAGGAGAAGGAATTGTGAGAAGGATCTTGGAATCATACTTGGACAACCACTTCAATATGAGCCAGCCGGTGGCAGCCAAAAAAGCCAACACAATCCTAGGCTGCATTAACAGAGGGATAGAATCAAGATTGTGAAGTGTTAGTACCGCTTTAGAAAGCTTTAGTAAGACCACACGTGAAATATTGCATCCAGCTTTGGTCATTACGTTATATTATAAAAAGATATATTAAAAAACTCTGGAAAGAGTGCAAAGAAGAGCAACAAAGATTATTAGGGGACTGGAAGCTAAAACATAGGAAGAAAGGTTGCAGGAATTGGTGCGATGGCCCGGGACGTGACACAAAAATAACAAAGTCACGAAAGTAGAATAAATTCCCTTTAATGCCTCCAACTTGGCCCCAATGTCCAATTATCCTCGGCTGGAGATCAAACTCTTCCAAAAACAGTCTACGAAGTGCAGAAATGCAGTCTGAACCCAAAGTAAAGATAATTAGAAATAAAAAAACCAGCACAAACCACACTGAAGTAATTAACAGGGCAGGCCAGGATGATAAATTGCAGACCACCAAAACCCAGATAAGCCTTGACCAAGAAAATGCACTCTTTGCTTCCATCAAGGCGCTGTGTGCAAACGCCCCACTTATATCCTGTTCTCCCCTCTGCAACTAATGAAGGGGATCAGGGCCCTTTTCTCTCCCGTAAGCCACATTGCTCCCTTCTCCATTTCTCCCTGCGTGCCCCAGGATGAAGAGAGGGTGGGCCTGGGTTTTCCTCTGAATGACCAGCCAGACTGTGCCCTTCCCCCCATTTCTTCCACAGCCACTGGAGCCACACTCCCACTCCCCTCAGAATCAGAATCCAACAAGGGCATGACAGTTGGGTACGTCTAGTCTAGTGAAAGAATAGGGAGACATGATAGCAGACTTCCAATATTTGAGGGGGTGCCCCAAAGAAAAGGGAGTCAAGCTATTCTCCAAAGTACCAGAAGGCAGGACAAGAAGCAACGGATGGAAACTAATCAAGGAGAGAAGCAACCTAGAACTCAGAA